CAAAAAAAAAAAAAAAAAAAAAAAAAGAATTGCTTTCTCAGTAGTAGATTTGTATCTTCTCAATTATTCAATTATCTACAGTAAATATGCATTTTTTCAAATTGAAAAATTAAAGTGTTTAAAAAGCCAAACATGGCTTAGAGGTTAGGAATGAGGGTGAAGCCAGGCGTGGTGGTATAGGACTGGAGGCTGATGCAGGAGGATCACTGCAAGTTCAAGGTCAGCCTGGGCATTCAAGGCCAGCTTGAACTACATAGCAAGACCCTGCCTAAAAAAAAAAAGAATGAAGGGGAAAAAAAAAAGAACAATGGTGAAAGTCCTTCAGGGTATTGGCAGTAAGAGGTGTAGGGAGGGTGGAGGTAGGCACTCGGGCCCAGCATAGGCCTAGAGATGGCAGTTGGTGGACAGCCCATCTCTACTCTTGAAAACCCTCACAGAAACACCTTTTCCTAGGCCAGGAACCTCTCCCATCATTAATCTAGATGTGTTCGCAAGGTCAAATATGCTGAATTTCACTTTGTTGTAAACAGATTTTAAAAACGACAATACAGACAGAAAATGCCAACCACTGTATAATTTCATTTCTGTGACATTCTGGATAGAACTACGGAATTGGGACAGACAACAGATCCCTGGTTGTCAAGCATTAGAATGGGAAGGGAGAGTGACACTAGGGTAATGAAGGGAGTGTTTAGGAGCAAGTAAATTGCTCATTCTTTTTTCCCCCTCTCTGGTACTAGGCATGGAACCCAGGGCCTCCACGCTGAGCTACATCCTAGCTCTTTTTCACTTAATTTTTTTTCGAGACTGGGTCTTGCTAAGATGTCCAGGCTGGGCTTAGATCTGCGATTCTCCTGCCTCAGCCTCCCAGGGTTCTGGGAGTATCGCTGTGCACCACCATACCTGGCCCTATTCTGTATCTTTCCTGTGACAGTTGTTATATGACGGTATAAATGCTTTCGGTAAATCTCACAGATCTATGCATTAAGAAAGGTACATTTTATTATATATAAATTTTAACTAAAAAATGAAAAAAGCACTCAGGATCACAGATTTAAGGTCAGCCTGGGCTACAGAGGGAGGCTTTGTCTCAAGAAAAAAAAAAAGTGGCAATAAAAAGCTTCTGCTTTTTTTTGTTTACTTTAAAGCAATGGGATAACAACTCTTGGGTAATTAAATATAAATCTCTGGCTGGAACAATGAACACCTAGGAGAGAAACTTACCTCATGCTTACCCATGCACCACTTCTGAGTCAGGAAAGTACAGGGGGGACATTTCTCCTCACTATGACAAGAATGGTATACTGCAGAAATAGAAAGGCAACATTAGGAATAACTTCTAAATAAAGTCATATAAACTATATATATGTTATATAAATGGCATATAACATAAAATTCCAGAGATGGGGAATACTTTTTCTAAATGGTCATAGCTGGGTGTGGTGGCGCACACCTGTAATCCTAGCATTGAGGCTGAGCAGGAGGATCACTGTTAGAGGCCAGCCTGGGCTACATAGAAATTTAAGGCCAGACTGAACTACACAACAAGACCTTGTCCCCAAAAAAAAGAAAGCCGCATATGGTGGTGCACACCTTCAATCCCGGCACTTAGGGAGGCTGAGGCAAGAGGATCACAGTAAGTTTGAAGTCAGCCTGAACTGAATAGTGTGAGACACTGTTTCAACACACACACACACACACACACACACACACACACAGGCAAACAAAAAAGATGATACATGAGTTAATATCAATCTCTTAACTTTATCTCTATCTTTATTTTTTATTTTTATTTAATAAATATATGTTGCTTCTGTAGCAACAACCAAAAAAACCAAGTTACTTCTAATTTTGTCAAAAGATGCACAACACTGAAATATGCCCCAAAAGCTGAAGTCATGAAGAAAGAAAAGTCCCTGAAAGACAAGATCCTCTGGGGCTTCTTCCAATCTTTTGGGTATGTTCGATATCCACAGAGGAAAACACTGGGGTGCACTGTGAGTGCCAGCTGGGGTCTAGATCACCTTCTCAGAAGCACAGGGAGCAACGGCTATCTCGTCCCACCTCCGAGCTTTGAGGAGGCTACACAGCAACATCCTCAGTGACACAGTATGTACAACCTGTAAGTCGTGAAGCAAGACAAGACTCACCTGGATGGTCACATTCATGGACTCTGGCACAGGTCTGAGTACACTCGGGGGGCCTAGTGCCACAGGGAACTGGAGGGTAGATCACTGATGCGCCACAGTGGCAAGTTAATTCATCAAAACCTGATGGAAGAGGAGGTAAAACAAAACCTTTTGTGAGCATGGGGTGTGCACATGCATAATTGTTCGTATTTTTAGAGAATGCGGGGATGGAGCTATTTTTTAAAAAACAGACTTGAATTTTTGACTTGTATTTTATTAAGCTTTTATTTTACTAAATCTAAGCTGGTAAAAATCACTCTGAGCCTGACAACTTCCCATACTTCCCTCAAGATATTTCTGATTAGATTAGAAGTTATATTAAGGACCATAAATTTTTAGGATTACAATCTAAAATTGTCAACATTTCATTTCAAAGATCTTTATAGCCTTGTGGATATTTCCTAGCTTTTCTTTTTTGTGGTACTGGGAATTGAATGCAGGGCCTTTGTACTGAACTACATTTCCAGATTTTTTTTTTGTTTGGTTTTTTGAGACAGGGTCTCACTATGTAGTTGAGACTGAACTGGAACTCACTATGTAACCCAGGTTGGTCTCAACTCACAGCGATCCTTCTGCCTCAGCCTCCCAAGTGCTGGATTTCAGTCATGTGCCACTGCACCTGGCTTCCAGATCGTTTTATATTTTATTTTGCAACAGAGTCTCACTAAGTTGCTGAATTGCCTATATTTGAGTTGAACATGTATCTCTCTTGGTTTGGCCTCTCAGAGTGCTGTGATTATAGGCATGTGCCCAGGTAAAGATTTATTTTCCAATGATTAATGTATTCTACTTTAAAATCATGTGTGGGTAAAAGGGCCTTTCAAAATAGAAGAGAGAACAATGTATTTTAACATGACAGAGAGCAAACGCTGACTTACGTCCTACAAAATGAAGTTGAATTCTGATACACCAAAATATAACAATTATTTGACAAAGTTTTTCCTTTTTCTTTTGTTTTTGAGACAGGATCTCACTATGAAGCTCAGGTTGGCCCTGACCTCACTATGTAGCCCAGAATGGCATCAAACTTGCCTCAGCATTCTAAGTGCGGGGATTATAGGCATGCACCACCACACCTGGCTGTATGTGAAAAAGTTTAATAAATATTTCTCCCTTTTAATAACTAGCTATCTGTAGGAGGCTGACTTCCATACTAAGACAAGACTGAATGCAGAAGCAGATATGAGGCCAGGAGCACAGCTATCTTCTATTAAGCAAGATGTCAATATTTTAATTTTTGAAATGTGGTTTAGCCAGGCATGGTGGCATATGACCGTAATCCTTCCACTCTGGTAGACTAAGGCAGGAGGCTCACATGTTTGAGTTCAACCTGGGCAACTTAGTAAAACTCTGCTTCAAAACAAATATAGAAAAATAATAGGCTGAAGATAAATCTCAGTGCAAAGGCCCTGGGTTCAATCCCCAGTACCACAGTGAAAAAAGGCCAGGTATATTACTATTTTAACATGAAATAATAAATTGTTTTTTACTTTTCTCAGTTTTAACTTCTAATATGGTAGAAAAAGATATGTAAACACATACAAAGAGCTCTTTGGAATCCTCAATAATTTTTAAGAATGTAAATGAGTCTCAAGAACCAAAAGTTTACTAACCTCATCTAATAATACTACAAACAGACAGCCAATGGCAGAATTTAGGACATAATAAAAGGTAGGTCACAAAAGAGGATGCCATCTCAGGTCATTGCTCACACTTCAAATTGTGTAGATTCAGGGACTACAGCACAGCACTAAGAATACCTTAGAAACATTTCAACACACCTGAAACACTAAGGCTTAATTCAATAATCCACCTAAATTTTAAGCAAACCAAGATCTTGAATATACCTGAATTTTCTTAAGATGTGTTATGTTCATGTACTAATTCCCCAAGATGAATGTAATCATTATATATTGTAAACACATACTAGTAAACATTTGAAAAAATATATATACCTGGATTTCTAGAAAACTCTATAATAAAGTATACAGTGAAGACACTCACTGGCTTGCCAGCACGTCTGGCAGTTCCCTCGATGACAAGGTTCTTCGCACCTATGAAGGCCACAACGGAGTTTCCTCCCACAGATCAAAGGACACTTGTGTTCCTTATCCTAAAAGGAGAAATCTTCACTTGTTGATAAAATGGTTTCCTTTCATATTTTCCATAAACAAAAACAAGAATAAAAACAAAGCTCTATACATTTATAAATAAAATGATATTTGGGGATAGCTTCAAAATAACCAAGAAAGGAGGATCAGGTGGGGACATGGATAAAAGATTTTTTTATGAGTTGATCACTAATGAAGTTAGATGTTGTAAACATCATATGGGACTTACTACACTAGTCTCTGCTTTTGTATATCTCTGAAAAAAAAAAATTTTTTTTTTTTTTGAGACAGGGTTTACTATGTAGTCCAGACTGACCTGGAACTCACTATGTAGCCCAGGCTGGTCTCAAACTCACAGCGATCCTCCTGCCTCAGCCTCCCGAGTGCTGGGATTACAGGCGTGCACCACCACGCCCAGCTGAAAGTTGTGATAATTAGAAGAAATTTTTAGGTCTTTGAACAATGACATCACTCTTGACATAAAGCACAATTTCATCAGTCTTCACCTAATTAATATGTAAATTTAAAATATAATTCTGTACTTTACATACAACATATATATGTATGTGCATATGTGCAACTTTGTTATTGGCCACTATCTTTTTTTTTTTTTTTTTTTTTTTTGGTACCAGGGATCAAATTCAGGACCTTGTGCTTGCCAAGCAGGTGCAGGGCCACTGAGCTAAATCTTAGGCCCCTGTTACTGGTATCGTATTACTTTGTAGACACATGTGTATATTTATATATGTACATCTATCCATCTATCTATTTATCTATCTACAGAATCCATTAAAAATGTATACACACTTCATCAAAAGAATAAAATGATTATTTTTTCAACAGATAGTGTTACCCTCATATGAGGGACCCTAGACGATGTCATATATCACAGAAAATCCACTGCACTGCCAGCCCTTACAGAAGATACTGAAAATGTGTATGCAGCAATCTCAATGATCAAGGTCACCCAAGCCGCAGTTTGCCATACTAATAAATGTCTGGAAGCTAATGGCCACCACTTTGAACACCTCTTTTAATTGTAGAGGTCAAAGGTAACTTGTATTTATATCATGATGTCTCAAAATATTTAGTATTAAAATATTTATACAATATTTTCTTTTCCTGAAGAGTGTATATATATTTTTTGGCAGACTCTGTACCAAAAATCTCTCTCTATATATAAATAAATAAAAGATAACACAGTACCAATAGTCAGGTTATACTTCCTTTAATTAGCCTGCGGAATCAAATATTTCAAATAAATGAAACCTATTCCTTTAAAAAATGTAATACTTGGTTAGGTATAGCAGCCCATTCCGGTAAATCTCAGCTACTCTCGAGGCTGAGACAGGAGGATTGCCAAATTCTAAGCCATCCTGAGAAACTTATCAAGTCTCCTCTCAAAATAAAATTTGAAAAAGGGCTGGGGATATAGCTCAGTGTTGGAGTGCCTAACAGCCACGAGCTCTCAGGACTGAAAACAACAAAATCCCACCATACTCATTTTAGCCACTGCTCTGGACCAAAGAATATATGAAGCCCAAAACCCAAGTTGCTATGTCCATGCCAGTCTGTGTTGGGATAATACATAATCTCCTGTAGAGGACCTGTGTCCATCTAGTATCCTAGGTTCTGTGGCCTTCTGTCTTTCTCTTTCTTTTCTTCCATGTTGCCACTGGTTGCCACTAGCTGACTTCTTGATCTGGCTAAGGACTAAATGGCTTAGCCTGTATCTCTGCTGAGTGAGTCTGGACTATGAAAGCGACTGCTACTTAGGGACACTTCTGATTAATTTCTAAATCTAGGCCACATTCCAGGAGGCCAAGGCTTATAGAGCCCAGGCTCTTCATAAACAGAATCTGATCATGCTTAATGACAGTCCACTTACCACACAGCATATCTCATTACATTTATGCCGTCCACACAGCCGTTTCTTGTTACACCGCTTGTCACACATAAATGTAGCATCTGCTATGGCCAATTAAAAAGAAAAAACAAACAGAGATTAAGTTGGGAGTATTATTCAGTCATAAAAATGAAATACTGACATAATGGGACAATATGATATCCAAAAACATATTAAATGAAAAAAGCCAGGTAGAGGGCCAGGGATTTTAGCATGAGGGAGAGCTGAGTGCTGAAAGAATGGTTAATAAGCACAAAATTTCCTTTTGGGGTAACAACGTTTTGGTACTAGATAAGAAGTTCTCATTGAACAACACAGAGAATGTACTAAATGCCACTGAACCATACCCTTTTAAGTGGTTAATTTTATGTAAATTTTACCTAAAAAAAGTGGGCTAAGATGCTTAAGTATAGAGAAATGGAATTATATTTAAGATTTGTTTTCAAAGTATATCCACAAAAATTAATAGCAGAGAGGAAGGAATGGATGATTATGAGACAAAATGTTAACTGATGAAAGATGATAGGTGTGGGAGGGTTCACTATATGAGTCTTGCACACATAATTAAATTTTTTCATTATAAAGTTTTAACAACTACCAGGTATGGTGGCACATGTCTGTAATCCCAGCACTCTGGAAGCTGAGGCAGGCAGATTGCAAGTTTGAGTCTAGCCTGGGTAATTTGGTAGGATCTTGTCTCACAATAAAACATAAAAAAAGGGCTGAGGATGTAGCTTAGTAAGAAGGCTTAAGACTATGTGATGGTTATCAAGAAAGGAATAGAAGAAGAATAGAGTGGGAAATCAGGATCAAGAACTAAGGAAGAGCCAGGCTTCAAGGTTAAGAAGACTGCTAAGGGGCTGGCGATGTAGTTCAGTGTCAGAGTGCTTGCCCAGCATGTGCAAGGTCCTGGGTTCATCGCCAGTACAAAAACCCAAAACACAAGGCTGTTGGCTGAGTCCCAGCTACAGGTATCCAGCAGTCCTACAAGACTTAAGGGGTTCAAGTATTACAGTCAGTGCAGTTAGTGTAAAAGGTTATTAGGTATTATTTGCCCTTCAGCCACATTTTATTATGAAAATTTCAAGCATATCAAAAGATGAAACACCTTCATAGTGAACACCTATATACCTACCACCAAGATTCTATCAATAATATGCTTATTTTTTTCATGTTAATTTTCCTACTTGCCTATTAATTTGTTTTTAAAATTATTTCAAAGTAAGTTGTAGACATGAGTACACTCAGTCCTAATTTTTTAGCCATTGACTAATGAGAATTCAATTTATAATTTTTTCCCTTTGGAGGTAAAAGTTCTACAATGTAATGCACACAATTTAATTCTATCTTTGCTAGATTTTGAGAAATACATAACTCAATCCTCTATTAAGCTTCAGAACATTATCTTCATCCCAGAAAATTTATTCATCCCGTTCTGGGTCTTACCTTCACTTTTGAGACTGGTACATGGAAGCTCCTATGGAAAAAGAAAAAGAAACAGTAAGTATTTTAGAAATTATTAAAACACTACCTTGGGAAAAGAAAAAAATATGAGAAAACGAAGAAATGGAAAAAAAAGTTTTTGTAAGTAGGAAAGGGAGGAGGGGGTGAAGGGAGGGCATGGGTATGGGGAAAAACTGAGAACCAAGACCTGTCATGTAAAGGTAACAAGATCCCAATGATGCATGTAAATGTACTAAAAAGTACCAATAAACTCGAGGGGGGAAAAAAAAAGAAGGAAGAAAATGGAAACAAAGCTTCTGTAATAAGGAGGGGGGATTGAAGGGAAGGGAGATAATTGGGAGAAAAAGAGGAATCAAGGTATCCCATGTACAAGTACAAATTCCCTTGATGAATGTGATCATTATGTATATTTAAATTGTATCAATAAAATTAATTAAAAAAAACAACACTACCTTATAGGATAATGCCAAATGTAACAAAGACATCTATTCACCAATTTCACCTGCCTGGAGCTAGTCAGATTATATCAATGTGCTTTACTCAAAATAGAACCCTAAGTTCACTGACTTTTCATAGAAGTACAATTATAACAGTCTTTTTTTCTTTTGGTACCAGGGATCAAATTCAGGACCTTGCACTTGTGAGGCAGGTGCCAGCACAGCTGACCTAAATCCCTGACCCCAATTATAACAGTCTTTGTAGTCTGGTCTCCAAATGCAGAGGAGATTAGACATTATGAAGTCTGAATGGAAAGTAGGGCTGCTAAAGGTATGCAAAGCAGAGAAGTAACCACCTGACCAACCGCAGACAGAAAAAGCCATCAAAAGCAGTTGAAAAAACTAAAAATTGTAGTACATGCCTGTAACTCCAGTACTCTGGGAGGCCAAGACAGGGGGACTGCACGTTCAAGCGCAGCCTGGGCAATATAGCAAGACCCTGTCTCAACAAACAAATGAAATAAAAAGGGCTTGGAATATAGCTCATTGTGAAGGCCCTGGGTTCAATCCTCAGTATGTCTCTCTCTCTCTCTCTCTCTCTCTCTCTCTCTCTCTCTCTCTCACACACACACACACACACACACACAAAGGTTAAATAGGTTAGGGTAGCTATGGTGGCACACGCCTAGATCAGCTTCTCAGGAAGATGAGGCAAGAGGATTCCTAGTTTAAAACCAGCTGGGGCAATTTAGTGAGACCCTGACTCAAAGAAAATGGGGAGGGAAGCTGGGATATAGCTTAGTGCTTTCTAGGTCCTATCCTTAGTACTGAAAAATAAAAAAAGTAACAATCTGGTGCCATTTTATGTACAGGCAAACATCTGTACACTCAAGGGCATCCTGACACTGGATAACCATGGCAAAGAGAAATATAACAGATTTTTAGCCTTCTAAGATGAGGCAGTTGGTAGGGAGCGAATCAGCCACTTGGCACAGGATGAGCCTGGATGGCTGCCCAGAATCTACATCTGAATTTGGCTTTGATGTCACTTACAGGTTGCCATGTACTCAGAAATTAGCAAAATAATAAACCCACTCTTAATTAAGCAGCTTTTGGAGTTGATAAAAACAGACATGAAAAGGTCTAAGAAATTGAAGGTTCTTGGCTAGAAAATAAATGTTTATTTAGATTAAAAAATGAGTTTGTAGGGCTGGGGATTTAGTTCAGTAGTTCTGCTGCCTGCCTCGCAAGCACAAGGACCCAAGTTTGATCACCAGTACCCCCAAAAAGAGTTTGCTGAGACACATGATATGAAAAAGCTTCCCATGTGCACTCTGGAGATATAAAGCACATGTGACTCATGAAACTGCTTTCTTGTCAGTGCAATCACTAGATTGTACAGAGAAATTATATGCGGGGTTATATTTCAAAACATGGGGAAAGGCAGGGTTTCCTAAATACCCAAAATGAATTGCTAATAAAAACTTAAATATACCATTCCTTATTGGAGGTAGTAAGATAAAGCATATATTCTCAAAGACTCCCTGCCAAAGTGATGAAAAGAATCACCTTTGAAGCTTTAAGAAATAAGTTTTTTTTATCAGAAAACTCACTTCAGTGAAATAATCCATTCCATTTCAAAAAGCATTAAGAAAAAAAATCCATGTTCATTATAATTTGGTTAAACAGTGAGATGATTATTTATCACCTTTTCTGCTTGTTTGCTTTTTTGAGACAGGGTCTCTATGTAGTTCAGGCTGGCCTTGAACTCATGGCAGCTTTCCTGATTCAGCCTCCCAGGTGTTGGGATTACACAGGCACCAACACGCCCAATGATCATCAGCTTGCGAAAAAGGTTTAATAGAATTCATATTTATAGTAAGTATCTTTAGTACTTACAGAAAAAACTTATTTGTAAAATTTCAATTAACACATGGCTTTTCAAGGATACACTTATACACCCACTATTAGAGGGTATGAAAAAGCAGTGTAAGAAGCAAGAAACTAGGTAACAAGATTGTTGGAGAGAATGCAGCAAACAGAGCAGCTACTTTTACCTTTCAGGTCCCAACCTTGCTTGTAACTCTTGCTAACAAGGGTCACAAAGAGCAGCTCTGGGCATAACTTAATTGATAATTACTAAATCTCAGACTTTTTTTTTTGGTTCTAGAAATCGAACCCACAAGCTCATGCATAGTAAGCATGTACTCTGTCACTGAGCTGTACTCACAGTCCCTCATAGTCATTAACACGTTCAAGATGGCCTATAATTTCTGTATCTCACTGCTGGGTGGCTTGAACCACCAGTGGTATATGCCTGACTATTCCACAGGAAGCATTTTATTAATTTTTATTGGTAAAAAGACCAAAAAAGTGATTAGATCCATCTGTACCAACAGTGTACAAGTTACCTGGTGGGACAGTTAAGCAAGTACCACTGGTGGTTTGAGTCAGCGGGAATGTGTTTATTGGGGTTGATGAAGTAAAAGGTGGTCCTGGTCCTGTAACTGACATTCAAAATTTTTACTCCTCACTTACACTGATTCACTTTCAGGGGAAGAAAAAAACCCTCACAAATGCCTATACAACTTTTAATATGATAAAAGTATACTAGTTTTACTTCTCTTTTTTGCTGTTATCCTGAAGCTTACCTATTAAACTAGCTTCCAATTTATGGACTATACCTTCAGAATCATTTGCAAGTCAGTTGATGCCACAGCTTTCACTATTTTTAACAAACAGAACCAACTGTTCAGAATTCTTTCCCTACTCTCACCTACGTTCTGTTGGAACAAGTGCTGATACGCACTAAAATGACCAGAAGTAGGTCACAAGCAGGACAATTCTTCACTTACATGTTCCACTCAAAGACTTCCACAGGAAGGCTTCCTGCCTCTTAGGTAACACACTCAGAAATGACACCATGGCCTAACTCCAAAACTGTAAGATGTCCTTTTATAACACAAAGTCCAATAGGAACTATCCAGGGAATAGAGCAGAAACTGACAAAACAGTTTTCCAAAGAGAGGCTGGCTTTTCTACTTGCCTTCTGAGAGGTAATCTCTAAGCCTAGTGGAAGGTCATGCCTGACAAGAAGTATGATTGTTTGCTTCCCGCCTTAGGTTACTGGACAGTTTAATACAATTTTGAGGCAGGGTGGTCACACTGGATAGTCTTAGGGTGAGGGCTTTGAGTCTCATGTAGTATCAGTAGACCTCTGGAGAAACTGCAGACTGAGATAAATAAACTGAGACCAAATAAACGAAACATACAGACTTGGGTGCATTTCCCTGGTTGGCAATATTCCAAGCATACTGTCATACACTGATACTAAGAAAGTAAACAAGCATACGGTCACATATTGGCAGGGAAGCTCCTGATTCCTGGGAGAGGGAAAATGAAGTTCTATATTTGGTACTTTCCTGGACTGTCTTTCATGATTCTTCCCTTGGCTGATTTTAATCTGTATCTTTTCCTCGTAACAAAACTACAGCCATGAATATAACAGCTTTCATTGAGTCTTTCTACTAAACTATCAAGCCTTGAGGTTGGGTGGTCTTTAGGATGAATGAATCTGTAGCTGCTACCAGAAGTGGGTAGTCATGTGGACTGTGCTAATTTAGCAGTTGTTTAATCTCTTGCAGTAGGTGTTAAGAGGCGAAACCAGTCTTGTGGACTATGTCTTTTTTAACTTATTTGGCTAGCTCCTTGCAACAGAGCTATTGTTGCTCTTTTCACATTTATATTTAGTAGAGCTACTTGTATACCTGCCTTAGTCCCACTATCAATTTCTGAGTCTTGAGTTCTGAAATCCCCATTATCCTACAATTAGCTTATAGTAGGTTTGAGATTATATACATTGTATGGACTCAATGAATCACATATAGTATGATAGGAATAAAACAAATTATTTTGTTTCTTCCCCTCCTATAATCACCATTTTAAAAGGCGTTGATGGAAACAACTTTAGCATTATTTAGGATTTACCTTTGTTCTGAAAGAACATCTGCAGGAAATAACTGATGTGCGAGAGCATGGTCCACAGTCTCCTTCATGGCAGAGCTTTTCACAGGTATGAATGAAATCTTTAATAAAAATGAAAAGAGCTGGGAATGAAAACTACTCATTTTCATACTCCCAAATTCACTAGTCACACTGGTCTTTCACATAGTGAACTCCCTGCAACTCCAGAATCAGAGCTCAGGGAAGAATAGTCAATGCTTCCTCCCCTATCTTCTCTTCATCTGGCAGGTTCGGTCTTTCCAGACAAGGATGGAGGATAGCATTATCCACTGGAATATGCGTTAATGGACATTTTGCTTCACCTAGTTCAAAGGACAGATCTGACTTTTAGGCTCCATGTTAGATTGAGATCTTCTTAAAATTGTAGTTATGCTGGGGATATAGCTCAGTGGCACAGTGCCTGCCTGGCAACTTCAATGTCCTGAGTTTGATCCCCGGTACCAAAAAAAAAAAAAAAAAAAAAAAAAAAAAAAAAAAAAAAAAAAGAAAAGAAAAGAAAAAAAAAATGTAGATATGGATGACATTACTGAAGTACTCTTGACTCTGCAAGTATCTGGAGAACCAGCTCTATGAATCTCAAATCCTCTCTCAAGGACGCCCTGAGAATAGAGTCTCTTTCTCAAGGCTACTGTTTAAATGATATATTCTTTTCATCTTTTAACTTTCAGAGTCATTGTATCTTTGATTCTAAAGTCTGTCTCCTGATGACAGCATGTAGTTGGACTTCATTTTAATTTTATTCTGAGACAGGATTTTGTTAAATTGCCCAGGTGGCCTCAAACTTGCTATCCTCTTGCCTTAGTAAGTAGCTGGAATACAAGTGTGTGCCACTGCATCCAGTTGTTTCGGTTTTTATCCAGTCTGAAAAATATCTTTTTTTGTTTAAACTAGTCACATTCAGTATTGTTAATATGGTTGGATGTCTGCCATTTTTCTATACCTTGTGTTTTTTTGTTAATCTAATCTTTGTTTTCTTTTGCATTAAGTCAATATTTTCTATAGAATAACGTTTTTCTTTATCCCTTTAATGATATTTTTCTACATTTTTTGCGCTGTTTTCTCAGTGGTTGCTCTGAGGCCATAATCTTGTTATCAAAATGGATTCTGGAAAAAAAAAACCCTCACAAAATGGATTCTGGATTTAAATCAGTGAAGAAGCTGTACTCCTATATAACACTCTTGGGGCTGGGGATTTAGCTCAGTGGCACTGTGCCTGCCTCATAAGTACAAGGTCCTGAATTCAATCCCCAGTACCAAAAAAATTAAAATAAAACAAAACTCTACTCTTCTCTCCTTTTATATTACTTATCTATCTATCCACTATTACAAACCAAACACTACATTGCTATAATTTTATATAGCATTATGTCTACTAAAGAAGATGAGGAAAGACAGCAAGGATAGTTTGTTATACTGATCTTATTTACCATTTGTGTTTTTCCCCCTTTGTTCCTGTGAGTTTGAATAACCATTTGATATAACTTCCTTATTTGAAAATAATTTTGACACCATCCAGCTCCTTTGTGCTGTAAAATATATTTGTATATTGCAAATATCAAATATATTTGTAAATTACAGGCCTAACAATATAATTACGTACATATTATTTTACACATAATTGGTTGCTTTTAAAATGAGTTGGGAGAAGAAAACACAGACTTTATAGTCTTTTTTTTTTTTTAATAGTCTTTTATAATTACATAGTTACAGGGCTGGGGAAAGCCCGGTGGCACCATGCCTGTCCTGAGTTCGATCTCCCCCCCCGGGGGGGTTTACATAATTACCTTTAGTAGTACTCCTTATTTTTTCACGAGTATTTTTGAGTTCCCAACGGAGTTCACTTGTTTTAAGATCACAGAACTTCCTTTAGCATTTATTGTATGGCAGATCTACCTGCTAGCAGTGAATTCTGTATTTGTTTATTTTGAAAGACAGTTTTGCTGGATAAGATTTTGGTGTCAGTTTTTTTCAGCACTCTGAATGTCACCTGTGATAGTTAATTGTAATGTCAACTTGAATGGGTTAAGAAATGCCTAGCAGGGCCGGGGATTTAGCCCAGTGGTTCTGCCACCTGCCTTGCAAGCACAAGGACCCGAGTTTGATCCTCAGTCGCCCCCGCCAAATGCCCAGCAGATTAATGGGGCACAGTTCTGGGTGTGTCTGGATGACTGATGGGTAGGCCAAAAACTGAGGGAAGACTGCAGTATAAGCAGGCAGCACAACAGAATTGCAGCCTGGATGGAATAAAAATGAAAAGAAGCCTTCCCTTTTGCTTCTTCTTGGGAATAATTCCAGTCTTCACCATTGCCTTTGGACATTTGTCTCCAGTCCTTCTGGCTTCTGGCATACTCTTCAGCCTTCTAACACAGATCTGGTGTTCCAGTCTGCAGTGAGCTCCAAGCCTTGGACTTTCAACCGCAACCCCTAGCTCTTCAGTGTGCAGATGGCCATTTTGCATTCTTCCACCCTAATCAGCAGGAGGCCATCATTTAAAACCTACTCTTCTGGTGAGCCCTAATACTGAATCATCCTACTGCTTTTTCCTTGTAATGTGTTCTCCACCATTTCTGATAATCATACCCACTGTTAATCTCATAGGAATTCCCTTGTATATAACAAGTCATTTTCCTCTTGCTGCTTTCAAAATTTTCTCATTTTTGGCTTTTATTATTTTTATTGTATATCTGGATATGGATCTCTGTATTATTGATCCTCAAATTCAGTGACCTTCTGGACATATGTTTTCCAATATATTTGAATTTTTTAATCCACTTATCTTCAAATCTTTTTCAACTCTTTTTTTTTCTTCCCTGTACTAGGGATTGAACTCAGGATCTTGCTTGCAAGGCAGGCATGGTGCCACTGAGCTAAATCCCTGGCCCATAGCAGGGTTTTTTATTTTTATTGTGCAATACATGCTTGCAGTATATAACGATTATATTCCTTGTGGGGAGTTGGTACATATACATCTTAATTCTTTTTTCATCACCTTTCCCTTCATCTCTTTATTCCCATCTCACTTGAGAAAGATCTGTCTCCCTACTTTGTATTATCTATCTTTTATTTTGCTCTATTTACTCTAGATTTCTCATAAAAGAGAAACCATGGGATGCTGAAGCTTGTGTGTTGATTTATTTACTTAATATTATGGCTTCAAGGTGCATGTTTTCTTACATCGGGGTAGAACCTCCATTTCAGAGGTGAGGGCTGGGTCGAGGAGAATACCTTCTAACCTCTTCACTGTACTCACCAAAAATTCAGCCTCTTTAACTGGAGGGATAAGACATGTTAACAGTCTGTTCCCCTTAATGAGGTATGATAATCACTGACTGGGGCTGAGGGGAGAGAAAGCCATGTCTTCTTGGCCACAAACATCTTTTTTTTGTTCTTGTTGCTGTAATGGGGACTGAAGCCAGGGCCCTTTGCACTGAGCTACATTCTGAGAACTTTTTTTATTTTGAGACAGGGTTTCATGAAGTTGCTAAGTTGCCTGGCTAGGCTTGAACTTGTGATTTGCCTGCCTCAGCTTCCCAGACTTCTGAGACTGCACTGCCATGCCAGGCTTACATTCATCTTGAGTGGAGCTTTTGTAAGGGAAGAGGGCATGAATGGGTTGTAGCTTAAATGCCACATGCTTGCTGTTGCTTATCCAACTTTAAGTAGATTTTCTTTATAAATATCTCTTAATTTGATGTAGGACAATTTCCAGAAACATTTTTTTTTTTTTTTTTTTTTTTTTGAGTCAGGGTTTCTCTATATAGTTCAGGTTGGCCTTGCAGGCTGGCCGTGAACTCACAATAATACTTTTTCCTCAGCCTCCCAAGTGTCACCATGCCTGGCTCAGAAATTTTAAATGGCTGCTTTTTAAACAGTTTTCCACAGCTTTGCTTATTTTGCTAGGAAGTGGATCCACAGGGAGCCTCTTATGTATCCACCATCTCTTACACTGAAGCTGTATCATTGGCATAAAAAAACTCCTATTAGATGAGATACTAAAAGACCTAAACAAGTTTTCTACAGACAGGCTAGGTCTGAACAAACTTAAATAAATCACTGTAACTACCAGCCAGACTTATCTTTTTTTTAAACTCCTCAGTCCAACTCAGCCTTAGGACTTTTACATAAAGCCAGGCATGGTGGCCTACACCTATATTCTTACTACTCTGAGAGGCTAAGACAGGAGATTGAAAATTTGAACCAAATCTGGGCAATTTAGTAACTTAGAGAGACCCTGTCTTAAACTAAAAGATAAAAAAGAAAGTGGGGATTTACCAGTGAAAAGGCTGGGTTCAACCTCCATATCAAAACAAACAAACAGCTGGGGATTTAGCTCAGTGGTTCTGCTGCCTGCCTTGTAAGTGCAAGGTCCCGAGTTTGATCCCCAGTACCAAAAATAAAACAAAAAACAATAAAAACATTTTATGGGCCGGGGATTTTAGCTCAGTGGTGCCGCCGCCTGTCTTGTAAGTACAAGGTCCCGAGATCCCTGGTACTGAAAAAATACCAAAACATTTAAAATGATTAAAAATCTGCTGGGTACATGATAGGTCAAGTGCTTAAACACTGAGCTACACCTCAGCCCCAACCAAGCTGCTGTGCTTTTTGTGGTGCTAGGGATTGAACCCAGGACCTTGTGCATGCAAGGCAAGTGTTCTACCACTGAGCTATACTTTTAGAAATTACCAAAAATTTTAAGTGTCAAGGATACTGTCTTGCTCTGCCAGCTCTTTTAGCATACTAAAGATGGATAAAGTTTGCACTTCCAAATAGAAGAACCCTGATCGTTTTTCCTGAGTAAAATATACAAACACATTTTAAAATTTAGTCACAAAGACCAAGTTGTACATTTCCAAAAGAATTTAATTTCTAAGAAATTAAGGAAAATACTGACCAAAAGAATAGCTACAAGATTAAAAAAAAAAAGCTAGATTACAATACACATGGCACAACTGCATTTAAGAAAAATTAAAAGTTGGATATTTTTAATGTTAAGTATACAGGCATATAAATACATAGAAGATTGCCTGGAAAACTCTCTGCCCCTCGGTAATTACCTCTGGCAGCAGAGAGGAAGAGGTGCTTGGAAGTAATTCAATTTTCTTCTGTGTATTTCCATGCTGACTGAAGTTTTTAATAATGATAGTATATTACATTTTCATAAAAAACATTTCTAAATTAAAGAAAAAAGTTAAAAAATAAGTAAATCTGCTTAAGGGCTGGGACTGTAGGTTAATGGCAGAGAACTTGCCTAGGACTGTGTGAGGCCCCAGATTCTATTTCAGCACTGGGGGAAAAAAGATCAAAACCAAAGAAACTGTTGAGGTAAAGTGGTTACATTATAATCCCTTGATGTGGTCATACCTCAAGCCCTGTTACTGACAGTTACTGCTCTTCTCTTGAGCAAGTCTCTTTGCATTACTCATTTTACATTTATTTTTTTTCTTTTTCAATGGAATACCTAAGCCTTGGGGTAGGAAAGCTGGTCATTATATATGAAATTCTTAAAAACTTGACATGTCTGCCATCGTTCATGATTTAGAAGTCATTTACTTTCCATTTCATAGATAATTTTTTTTTTTTGGTACCAGGGATCGAACTCGAGCCCTTGCACTTGCAAGGCAGGTGGTAGCACCACTGAGCTACAACCCTGGTCCTCATAGATAATTTTTTCTTGTTTTTGGTACCAGCAATTGAACTCAGGACCTTGCACTTGCGAGGCAGGCAGCAGCATCACTGAGCTAAATCCCTGTCACTCAGATAATTTTCATGGCAGGAAGAAAATCAAGAGATAATTGGTTTTCCTAAGGCAGCTATAACACATTAAAATATAAGAGAGAAGCCAGGTGTGGTGGTACATGCCTGTAATCCCAGCACTCGGAAGGCTGAGGCAGGAGGATTGCTATAAGTTTGAGTCAGCCTGATCTACATAATGAGTTCAAGACTAGCTTGAACTATATAGTGAGACTTTGTTTCAAAAAATGAAACCAAGGACCAGGGATTTTGCTCAGTGGTTTTGCCACATGCCTTGCAAGTGCAAGGGCCGTAGTTGGATCCCTGGTACCTCCCTCCCCACCAAAAAAAGAGCATTATTTTCCCTCTTTATGTAATATTTTCCCTGTCTGTGTAATTCTGAAATCAGACTGAAAAAAAGTAAGGTACTGTAATCATTCCTGCTGGTACGTAGAAAAAAAAAAATCTGAAATCTCTCCTTTCTATAATGTAGAAACCAAACTTAAAAGAGTTTTGTTTTATTTAAGATGCAATATTAGTTGTAGGAATACCGTTCTAAGATTTTTTTTTTGTGGAATCAGGGATTGAACTCAGGACCTCACGCTTGCCAGGCAGATGTGGCACCACTGAGCTACATTTCTAGCCCAGGAATATCTTTCTTATTCAGCCTAAACTGCCTTTGAATACTCACTACAAAGAGAAGTTGTCAAGTCACTGCAAAATTGCCCACACATATCTCCAAAGACTAAGACAGGCTCTGTTAAGAAAGTCAGACTATTATCTTATTCCAACAGAGTTTTCCCTGGTTTCTATTTAAGTTATCAGAAGCCACTAACAAGAAAACAGGGAATGATTAAAGGTAGGCAGGCAGGCACACTAAAAGTACTGATGAGAAAATAACAAAAAGCTTTAACAAACATATCAAACAATGAATGTAAACTGCCCACTGGTATGGGGCAACTAGCTTGAGAAACTGCAGCAGGCCCTGAGGGCCTCACTGTATTAAGTTTAATACAGTAACAAGTTCATGAAAAGGATGACTGAGCCAATAAGAGGAAAGAAATTCAGCAACCTCTGTTTAGAGAATACAAATTCTAGAAGAGTATTCATCCAAACTGATGTTCAAAAGATGTCACCTCAGCTACATGGGAAAGGGCTATAAAGAATAACATTCTTTTGTCTCAGTTGATCAAATATCATTGTAGTCCTTAAAACATCTCATCCAGTTATTTTAGCATGTTCTAATTATAGGAAAAGGTATTTAAACCCTTGCTGAACCCTGGATTAGTAAAAGAAAATATGGTGTTTGTTGTATAGCAGAGTGCTGATCACTCAAGGAGTAGTATCTTATCATAGTTGTCCACAGTTGGCAGTAAAATACCTGAACTGGAGAGATCACTGAGGCAAATGAACATTTCCATAAGTATATTTGGAGGAAGACAAAAAATACCTACACAAACCTGATCATAATAATTAGAAGTATCCCTGATATTATAACCTTTTTATTTTGCTGAAATATTATTGCTGCCAAACATTTATTTACATGAATGCTTCCAAAGCCAAGTTTATGCCAATTAATTACCTGAGGAACCACAAGGCAGAGGCTTGCCACACACTTTACCACATGAAGGGACAGGATCCATGCATGTTTTCCGACCACTACTTCCAAGTTCTAGCAATTGGCTGAGAGGAGTTTGGCCACAAGGGCAAAAGCGTACCAGATAGGGGAGCCGTGGGCAAGGCTGACAGGGTTGAGGGTGGCACACTTGAGAACATGTATGGTTCCCACATTTCAAGTCCCTGTAAAGAAAAACAATAGACTATTACACAATTGTTGTGTAAAACAGCTTTATTCTAACTGAAGAAAATGTAAAACCTTACTTGCCACATATCTTTAAACAGCTGAAGTCCCCAAATCCATCAGACTTTCCTGTATCTGTTCCACATAAAACATCTCGGGGTGTGCTGCCACAGTAGCATACTTGAGGACGTAATTTCAAAATCAACAGATTAGTAACTTGTTTATGTTCTTAATATATTCCTAACAATCTATAAGAAAGCACAAAATGCAGCCAGTAGGGTGATGCATGCCTATAATTTCAGCACTCTGGAAGGCTAAGGCAGGAGGAGTGCAAGTTTAAGTCTAGTCCGGCAACTTGGTGACTTAGTGTTATCTTGCCTCAAAATTAAAAATGGGCCGGGAATGTAGGACATTGAAAAGATCCTGGTTTAATCCCCAGTATTGCAAAGAGAGAAGGGGAAAAAATAAAGAAAACCCAAAATCTCTTCATTGAAATGCTGATCAGATTTGGTACAGAAATTAGTGTGGTTATACAACAGCTTAAGATCCAAGAGCTCATTACAGGAATAAAAATACTAAGAGCTTATTATAAAAGGCCTTGTTAAAATGCCAATACCTCATAGTGCCTCTGCAGCTCATCATGAGAACAGCATTCGGGAGAAGCAACCCCTAAATTATGAGGAGAACACTATCTGGTCCATAAGGCCATAGTGGAACATTCTGGATGGTGAGACTCCCTGGGGAGATGTCATAGGGATGGACAAACTAAACTGGTAAACGTGGTAGACAGTTGACACCTGGATCTCCATCAACATAAGTAGCATAGATTGGATGCTTTTATACTGGAGCTCACACAAAAGGGATAAGAAAAAGTCCTTGCTACTAAAAGTACTTAAATTATCATTAGAGCATAAAATCCTTAATTATTTGTATACCACTGTTAAATTTAAAGTAATCATGTCTGAGTATTCACAATGAGTAAAAAAGTTTCAAGTATTTTGAGAAGGCTGGGTGTATAGCTTAGTGGTAAGGTGCTTCTCTAGTATCCAATCCCCAGTATCTCAAAACAAAAATCTCATTCATCCAATAAAGACTTAACAGATGAATTAATACAGATGTAGGAAAAAATCAGTATTTGTGGAATCAATGAATTGTTAAACAACTCCTAGCAACTGGGACCTCCTGCAAACAGGCTTTTCCTTGCCAAGTTTCTGCTCATATAGGACAGAGCCTTTTTTCAGAAGTAATGAGCAAAAAGCTGTTAAGAGTTAAGGGTAAGAAAATTATGACAATAAAAACAAATGGAGCCCTTGGTCAATCTGGAAATAATAAGTGTAATACCAAAAAGCTTTGTTAGACTTAGGCACAAGTTGGCATCAGCAGGGTCAGTCACAGTTGGTTCAATACTATGAAGAACCAAAGACAGTCTGGAGGAAAGACTCTGTTGCCTGCCTTAGTTTGCTCAACATTTTCAGCATTTTATCCACACATGAATGAACATCTAGAAGGAATGCTTACTAAATCTCTACATAAGGTTGAAAGGGATCAACTACATGTGTGGACAAAATACTTTGTAGATATTTAACATCTACAGAAAAACTAAAAATTGGATGGAAATGAAGCTCATGGCAGAGGGCCTAGATTCAATTCCCAGTATAAAAAGAGAGAGAGAGAGAGAGAGAGAAGAAAGAAAAGAAACAATTTTTTTTGGTCTATCCTTGAATAATCTGGTTTTCTGGTTTGGGGCTCTTATGAAAACATATTCCTTGGAAGTCTTTTTATGACTCAGGTACACAGGTCATAGGATACATAGGGTTTACTTTTATAAAAAAAAACCGCTAATCTCATCTAAAGTGGTTGTACTATTTTACATACCTGCCAGCAATGTATGAGAAAGTTGTTTTAACCTTGCCAACATTTGGTCATTATTTTTATTTTAGCTGTCCTATTAAGTGTAAACAGGTACTTTACTATGGGTTTGGATTTTTCCCCTTCCCTTGATTCTCTTTCCTCACTGTGGATTTTTTTTTCTCTCACTGGGTTTTTTTTTTTTTTTTTTTTTTTTTTTTTTTTTTTTTTGCGAGGGGGTCTTTTTCTCCCCTGCGCTTCCTTGGTTTTTTTTTTTTTTTTTTTTTTTTTTTTTGGTTTTTTGAGACAGGGTCTCACTATGTAGCCCAGGCTGGTCTCGAACTCATAGTGATCTTCCTGCCTCAGCCTCTCGAGTGCTGGGATTGCAGGTGTGCACCACCATGCCCGGCTCACTGTGGATTTTTGAAACAGTTTTATTGCAATACAATTTATATACCATGTAGTTTCAGAAAAGTTCACTAGTACTTCCAACTGGTATGCATACCACTTACCCTGGTTCAGTATGATCCGACAAGGCTGGCAGTGACCCCCATGGCACAGCTCAGCACAGTGGTGCTGACCACAGTTCAAAATGTTCTCACATGGGTTAGAACAGTGGACTGAGACAGCCTGACCACAGCGAACTGTGTGCCTGAAAGACAGATGTAAAGATGACACCAGTCTAAAAGGTTCCGTTGCATAGCTAAACGAACACTGAAGCCCAAACCGTCCCTCAAAACCTACTGACACTCTCTCGACATTGTCGACCCTCTTTTTTCCTATGTTTCCTTCCTCCAATTCTTATTTCCTTAATTACTCCTGCTTCACTTTCTTCCTTCTCCTTTTTTTAAAAATCCTAACCTGCCTTTCTCGCCCTTATTTTCTGGTCAGTGAAAAATTGAAAGCTACTTTAGAGAATTTGTTCTATGTGATCTCATCTAAGTTCCATGAAGCAGCATGTGGGAGGGAAAAGAGCCCAGGGGTGAGGGGCTAGATGATCCTCAAATTGTAGTATTAGTTTTGTCTAGAGCTCCCACCTTACAAACTGGGGAAGAAAGGCACCTAGCTCTGACATGGGCTGAAAATACAATCCAGGATGTTGGGCATTTTATGCTGCTATATTACTAGATATGTCTTTGATTCAGAGTAGGGAATAATCCTACCTTTGTCCTAATAAACACATTAATTTTGCAGACATATTAGCTTTTCAACATTGACTTTGGGTCTCTTTCTAGGGTTTAATACTTGGAGTCTACTCTCCTGCAATAAAAGTTTTATTCTGTTTCTTAATCTATGTCAACTACATATTTTGTTTTAAAAGTCACTTTTAGCTCAGTGTAGTGGCACATCTCTATAATCCTAGCTACTCAGAAGGCTGAGGCAAGAAGATTGTGATTTTGAAGATAACCTGGGCAAAATAACAAGACCCCATCTCAAAAAAATCACGAACTTGTCTCAAAGATAGCACATCCCCGAGTATGTATCATCTCATTTTGTCTCAGGGTTCAGAAATCATTCTAAGATCTTTCTGGGCCTTACAGGTACTCCACAGCTGTAAGTGGCCCGTGCACTGAAGATGCAGGAAAACTTACATTATAACAAGGCAGGTTTACTGGAGTTATTCTTTCATGCAACAATATTCACTGAAAAATCCCCTAGATGTGATACCACACGAGGCACAGAAAAAAAGGTGCCTGCCTCCTGGACCTTAATAAGCCTGGGCTCACCCACTAGCTTTGTTACTCATTAGAGAGGTTAAGAAAATTCCTGTCACCTTGGCATTTCACTGAATGGGTAATTTTACAGTCTCACTCTGCATACAACTTAATCACCTATAAGATTGTAAAACAGGATAAGCAACATAAACTACTATTATAAAACAGTCCCACAGTTGGCCCTCTGTATCAGTTCTGCACCCACAGATTCAACCAAGAGCAGATAAATTTTAAAAAACTGTATCCGTACTGAACATGTAAAGATTTCTTTCTTGTCATTATTGTTATTTCCTAAACAATATAATTTAAGCTATTTACATGATACTTAAGTTGTATTAGATAATATGAGTAATGCAGAGATGATTTAAAGTATACAGGAGGATATGTTCAGGTTGTATGCAAATACCACACCATTTTGTATAAGGGACTGAGCATGTGAGGTCTGGAACCAATCCCCGGGGGATGTCATAGGATCATTTTATTACACTTGCCACTTATTTATATCTACTAATTAATCTTTTGTTTTGGAAATTCACAAGTAAATCATGCATTTACTTCTAAAGAAGACTGAAGTCTTGTTTAGAGTACAATTTCAACCTTACCTGGTCCGTCCACATTCACATGTTTTAGTCATAAAAGCAGGACAGGGTGGGCATGGTCCAGGATGGCACAGACTAAAACAGAATGGCTACAATGAATAAATCATACCCTGTACCCAAACCAAAACAAAGCTGCTCCAACTAGGTAGGCCCTGCTATGAATATAGCAACAAATAAACCTACTATGAAATGTTTTAGTATTTTCCTAAAGCTTAGGAACTTAGCAAGATCCTATCTCAAAATAAAAAATCAAAAAGAGCTGGGGATTTAACTTATCATGATGGCTCTAGGTTCAATCTCCAGTACTACAAAAACAAACAAACTGAGGATTAAAAGTTCTAGCCCAGCATGGGCAACTTCAGTAATCTGTCCATTTATTTTTTAATTAAAAATTTTTTTTGGCCAGGCATAGTGGCACATGCTTGTAATCCCAGCACTTAGGAGGCTGAGGCAGCAGGATTGCTGTGAGTTCGAGACCAGCCTGGACTACATTGTGAGTTCCAGATCAGTCTCAACTACATAGTGAGACCCTGTCTCAAACCCCCAACCCCTCAAAAAAAACCAAACAAAATATATTTTTTGGGGGGTACTGGGAATTGAACTCAGGACCTTGCACTTACAAGGCAGGCAGGTGGCAACACTGAGCTAAATCCCTGGCCCTAGCATGGGCAACTTCACAAGACCCTGCTTCATAATAAAACCTGTAATCTCAGCACTTAGGAAGCTGAGGCAGGAGAATCACAGAGTTTAGGGCAGCCTAGGCTGCACAGTGAGTTCAAGACCAGCCTGAACTGTATAGTGAGACTCTGTCTCTAAATTAATTAATTAATTGAAAGGGGGTGGTGGTGGTGGTGATGTAGCTCCATACAAAGCCCCTGGGTTCAAACTTCAGTACCATAAAAAGATAAGGGAAAAAAAAAAAAATCAAGTCAGGCCTGGTGGAGCATATCTATAATCTCAGCACTCAAAGGCTGAGGGAGGAGATTGAGAGTTCAAGGCCAGCTTGGTTTATATAGTGAATCCCCATCTAAAAAAGAAAAAACAAAAACAAACAAAATCCCCAAACAATGATGTTAATTCTTATCTTAGGACATTTAATCAGAAAACTAAAGCCCAAGTCAAAATTCTGGTTTTATTTGGGCCTGAGAAAGATGACATTTTCAAATACAGCATTGGCCCACTTATAGCAGTGAGGGATAAAAACAGCTTGCCACTCAGGTGACTGGCAGAATGCCCAACAGAGTCCTGTATAAGATCAGATTCTGAGCAAAGTAATAGAGCTCAAAGATACTAGACCCATAAGAAGTACAGTCCTTTTCAGCTAGTGAAGAAATCATCCAGCAATGGGCTAACAATGGGAATAGTAAGAAGGTGACATGAAGGGTGGCATGCTGGTAAGCAACAAAGGGAGAGGAGGAAGGGGTAAGAGTTTACTCAGATCTCTGAGTAGAATGCTTTTTATAGGAACTATGTCTTAGAAACCAGCAGGAAAAAAACCTTACAAAATAGAATTTGTATACTCCAACAAATAACGCCCTCTTCAAAGCAGACAGTCTAGCAAATCACATAGTGACTCAAAAATACATTGTGGGAATTTTTATAAGAACTTTTTTTTAAAGAGGGAATTTTAGGTGATGGCAAAGTAAAATCCCTTGGGAATGAAAAGGCAACGTGAAGCAAGTCTAATTAGTCCTGTTGGTAACAGAATTTTATGCAAAAGTAAAAAACAAAAACACAGGTGCCTATAATGTAGTCTGGGTGGGATGATGATGATGATGATGAATATTAGACTAAGGACTGAATCCAGGGCCTGAGCACTGAGCTATACCTCCAGCCAGACTTGTATTTTGATACCAGAGTCTTGTAAGTCACTAAGGTTGCCCAGGCTGGATTCCAACTTGCACTCCTTCCACTTGAGCCTCCCAGAGTGCTGAGCTTACCGGTGTGCACCATGCCCAGCTTGGGATTTTTAGCTTTATATATGACTCTTAATCCTGAGAGCTTTTTTTTTTTTTGGTACTGGGGTTCGAACTCGGGTCCTTGCGCTTGCGAGGCAGGCGGCAGAACCACTGAGCTAAATCCCTAGCCCCTGAGACTCTTAAATAAGGTTTGAACATTGGAAACAATCCAGGAACAAGAGCCTAAGTCTTCTAAGGTGAATTTTTTTTACAAAAAGTCTCATACATTTAGGCAGGTCTCTTTAAAGATGAACATGATTATACAATAGTTATACTTCACATGATATGGTTCAATCCTTTCAGGTAAAACAATTTATGTAATTTTAAATGACAGATAAACTGTGGGGAAGGTATGGGTGACTTGAAGTAATTTCAAATGTCCCTGAGGTCTGAACTCAATCTCAGGTTTTCTTAACCTTTTAAACAATGGTTTGGAATGCTGGTTATACACTGGAACCTTTTGGGGGTGGGGTGGGGGCAATACTAGGGATTGAACCCACAACCTTCACCAAGATACATTCCTAGCTTTGTTTTTTATTTTGAGATAGAGTCTCACTAAGTTCCTAAGTTGCTCAGGTGGATTTGAACTTGCAGTCCTCCTGCCTCAGCCTCCCAGAGTGCAACGATTACAAGCAGGTACCACCAAATGTGGCTACACCTAGAATTTCACCCACTCCCACAGACTGAATTGCTCTGAGATAGAGTCTGGGTACTGTTTTTTTAAAAATGTCCCCTAATTGATTCTAATATGCAGCCAGGTTTGACAAGCACTGCTCCAGAGGATTTTATGACCTAACCCAAAATAGAGAAAGAGGACATCTGAGGCTTCTGATGGTAAATATAAATAAGAGACACATAAAGCTTTGTCTGAGACATGGAAAGTACTGTTGGGAAATGGGTTTTAGTAACCTCTAGACTCCTGACAGGAGTAAAAGCAGTTTCCAGGTCAAGTACAGGATTTCCAGAGCCACAAAAGAACAGGTCATAATGTACTCATTCCTTCAGACGTGGTGTTTACTACCTGATCTGCATGACTTCTGATGTTCTCTGATAGTCATGATAAAAATACCAGCTAGTTAACTTAAGAAATATGCAAGCCCAAGGACCCGAGTTCGATCCCTGGCACCAAAACAAACAAGAAATGAGTCCCTGAGGAAGGAGTACATTGGAGAAAGGCAGCCGACTGCTCAGCAAACCATAGGCCATGCTCTTTAGCCCATTTGGAAACAGCTCTACCCCACTGACCATTCCTTCGCAGCATCATTACCTTACCTTGACCACAGGCCCCAGGTCAAATATTTACCCTGGCTCCACGCAGCAGAAGCACTGATAACATTCTCATGTCTGTTTTGCTCTTGGATTTGAGTAATAAAGCAAGAAATAACCATTTTTGACCAGTTGGCAGACTTGGTACCAAGCCTCCTAGATGCATTCATTAATTTTCATAAAACTTATGTAATAATAAGTATTATTCCAATAACTATTATTTTATAGATGTACAAGTTCAGGCTTAGAGAAGTTATGTAACATGTACTAGGTCACAGAACTATTTTTTTTCGGGGGGATCAAACTCCGGTCCTTGCACTTGCAAGGCAGGCAGTGGAACCACTGAGCTAAATCCCTGGCCCTTAGGGCACAGAACTATTTAAGCAATTCAAACCCAAGATTTAAATCTCTGTCTGAAGAAATTTATTTGTCACTGACCAACTATTTCACTATGACTACATTTCTTTTATTATTTCTTTTTTTTTTTTTTTTTTTTGGTACTGGGGATTGAACTCAGGTCCATAAGCTTGCGAGGCAGGCAGCATAACCACTGAGCTAAATCTCCAGCCCCTTCTTTTATTATTTAGAAGCAGAATGGATACTTTCTAAAGCTGGCTATTTATTAGAAGTTAAAGATTCATTTCCTAAAAATAGTAGATAGGATGCTACACAACTGCCTTTCTCTCCAACATCAAAGACTGTCCCACATACTCTCTTGGACCTGACTATCACTGGAGGATAAAATATCTAAGTCTTATTTCTTTTTAAAAATGTAATACAATGAAAAGAGGGCTGGCTTTGGAAATCCTAGCTCCACCACATCCCAATACTGTGCTGGGCAAGATGCTTGGCCTTTCTGAGCCTCATGTGTAAAGCGGAGATGATAAATACTTATCACCTAATTGTGGTAAGAATTCAACAAATTAACTCATGTAGAATGCCTTGTATAGAATAAAGCGCAGTAAAAGGTACCACATCCACCCTGTTCTGTCACCAACAAACATGTCCACTAGGAATCCCCAGGTGTTTATTCAGCTTTCCAACTTACAGGTTACAGGAATGTGGGCAATCCTGGCCAGGCTGTTTCCTTCTACAGACCTCACCACAACTATGTGGAATTTCATTTCTGCTCCATTCAGGATTCTTTATCTTGCCTAAAACATATGAGATCAATGTCAGTGCTACAATTTTCAACCATATCCTTGATTTTAATGAAATAAAATTACTAGCTAGTGTGAAGCTTAAGTGTGGTTTTCACACTTGATCTTAGCCATAAGGCGGAGAAGTGATTAAGTGTGGTTTTCATTAATTAGTTCAACAAATATATTACCTCACATCTTAAAACAAAAAAGTGAACATAATACTATTAATCAAAAGCTTCCATGCTGGGGATTTAGCTCAGTAGTTTCATCACCTACCTCGCAAGCGCAAGGACCCGAGTTTGATCCCCAGTACTCCATCCCAAAAGCTTCCATCCAGATATAGTGAGTTTAGGGTTAGCCTGAACTACATCGCAATACCCTGTCTCAAAAAACCAAATGAAAAGGTTCTCTGAGGGCCAGGGATGTAGCTCAGTAGTGTAGCGCCTGTCCGGCAAGCGTGAGGCCCTGGGTTCAATTCCCGGTGCCAAAAAAGAAAAGTTAAAAAAAAAAAAGGTTCTCTGAGTATGATAAATCATAAATTCTAGATTACCTGTGAAAGATGTCATTTTACTTACAAAAATGTAATTTTCACTAATGAACACATTTAATCTAAGATAAATACCTACTAGATCAAACTCTTGGATTGATAAATATCTACAGTAATGATCAGAAAGAAATAAGGGAAGAAGAGTACTGGGATAAAGAGGAGGTTTTCTGGAGAATGGATATAAAGCCCCTATATAGTAAGAACTCACCTATTGTAAAGCTATAAAATAGACATAAAAGGACTAAAATTTTACAATCAATATAACTCTGCAAAAAAAATTTTTTTTTTTTTGGTACCGGGGATTGAACTTGGGACTTTGCGCTTATGAGGCAGGTGGCAGCAGCACTGAGCTAAATCTCCGGACAATCTTTTTTTTTTGAGACAGGTAGTTTAGGCTGGCCTCAAACTCAGTGATCCTCCTGCCTCAACCTCCTGAGTGCTAGGATTACAGGCATGTGCCACCACGCCCAGCTCATTCTGCAAATCTTTACTGGGCATCTTCCTTGGACTTAGCAAAGCAGAGATGAGTGAAACCCAGGCACACAATTCATCATTGCTCTTAAAGAATTCATCCTCACTTGCATAGTTTACATATGAAATGATAGCCATCACCAGTCCTAGGCCTCTGCTTTCTCTCTATATTGTTTCTTTTAAAATTTTATCCAAATCTACATTTTCTGCCTTGTCCTAAATCTGTATGATCATCCGATATGTCCAACGGTCTTCTGAACATCTGCTTGGGATTCTATCACCTCTGACTTATCTACACCCAAAGTCTGTATTTTCCCTCTAAAGCCCCTCCCTCTTCAGTGTTCCTTATTTCTGTCAATATCATCAGCACTGTCCAAGTTAGACACTCAAAAACTACAGAAATCACTGGCACCTCTTTTTTTCCCATTCTCTACTTAATCACCACGTCTTTTTCTTTTCCCCCAGGGTTTCTTACCTCATCTTCCATATTCATTCTCTTGACTCATACTCACCAAAAGCTCATCTCCAAATAATCGTAAATGCTGCCCTGCCTCTATGCTTTCTTGTTCAAATATAGTGCCTTAGTTTTGCCAACATCTTTTAGTGGTTCTACCTCTTTTCCCTTAGTCAAAATGATAGTTTTTGTTGTTGCTGTTATTTTGCCTTTTCTCTTCCAGGGCTCTGTGTTATACCCTTTTCTCACTCCTTACCCTTTTATCCATTAGGGTAAGCTGCTCCTCTTAACTGCAATTATCATCCCTAAGTTCTAATCCTTCTGAAAATATTCCTACCTAACTGCTGGACATCTCTCACTGATGTCCTGTCCATTCCCTCCATCCCAATATTTCTAACCTGAACTCACTATTCCCACCAAACCTAGTTCTCTTGGCCTACTCTTTTCCTTCGTATCATCATTTCCAAAAGCATGAAACTCTGGAGTCACATTTGGGTCCCTCCAAATAATAGGAATTGTTGTTAATTGTTAGGAAACTAAAAGGAATTGGCCGGGCATGGTGGCACATGCCCGTAATCTCAGCACTCGGGAGGCTGAGGCAGGGGGATCGCTGTGAGTTCAAGACCAGCCTGGGCTACATAGTGAATTCCAGGTCAGTCTCAACTACATAGTGAGACCTTGTCCCAAAAACCCAAAAAGAAAGCAAAAACAAACAAATTAACTAATAGGAATTGGTGTTAATGCTTATTTACTTTAGAAGTTTTTACTTTTTCCTTTCTATCCCACTCGTTATAGATTTTACTCTGTCTGGATTATTTTAAGTTCTCAAACTGCTTAGATTCCAAAATACTCTCACAGCCAAAAACTAATCTCCATAAAGAAGTGATGACCTCCATGGCTTTCCTTGGCCTACAAAGGACACCTTTCCAGTCATGTACTCTTCTACCATCATAGATCCTGGGATCTATAAATGGATGACTCCTTCTCCCAAAAGACTGTAAACCTCCTTAGTTTTGAATTTCTGCTTATACCATTCTCTTTAAAAAATAAAAATGAAACCTTCCTGCCTATCCAGTGTTCAAGTCCAGTTAAAGTCTACTTTTCATGAAAGCTTCCCTTAATGATCTAGCTAGATGTCACACCTTGTCCAAAGACCCCCACAGCACTTTGCAGTTCTAGTGCAGCACAGGTTAACTGAGTTTAACTCTTAAACTTTAAGGTTTGGAGAATCATTAAACGGTCTCTTCCCACGTTTTCATAGTACTGTGGCAAATTCTCAATAAAAGCACACTAAATTAATCATCTTGAATTGTGAGGGGCAAAGTCACCAAGTAAAAAAGGCCATTATTTGCATTTCCATATCATTCTCTCTCTCTCATATCATTTTGACCTTTGCTGCATATTCTTATGCCTTCTTAGTTATCTAACTTGTCAGTGAAGCCTCCAATAAGATTTTTAATTCCATGGTGGTACTTTGTGCCTAAAAGTCCTTTAAGATAATTAAACCTTGATGTCCTAGTTATCCATTGCCCACTCTCTTTGGTTGTTTGAAACAGGGTCTTGCCATGTAATTCAGGCTGAACTTGCTGTGTATCCCAGGCTGGCCTTGAACTTACAACAATCCTCTTGCCTTGGCCTCCCCAGTTCTGGAATTACAGGCAGGAGTCACCATGCCTGACTCCAATTTTCAATTGACCTCTTGTTTCAAGTTTCATGCTGTCCTTGCAGTAGTACACTCAAGAATACTCATTCCTTCAACTAACAATACTTACTATCCACTAAGGCTCAGATTTTGGAAATAAAACATGTAAGGCCAGTAGATTCTAAATAAAAGAATGGTCAAAACGAAAGAGGGAAAAACAAACTCCAGGCAAATATGGCAATGAATTCACCAAAGGATTGAATCTAGAGATAAAGAGATAATAGTTAATAACTCTTGGTGGCAGCTGGGGATTTAGTTCAGTGGTTCTGCCGCCTGCCTCACAAGCGCAAGGTTCTGAGTTTGATCCCCACTACCAAAATAAATCCCCCCAAAAAAATTATTGGTGAAAACTGCTATTCAAGGAAAAATATGAGCAAATTGGTTAGAAAAATAAGGAGAGCTCACAGAAAGAAAGAAAGAGAAGAGGGCCGGGGATTTAGCTCAGTGGTTCTGCCACCTGTCTCGCAAGTGCAAGGTCCCAAGTTCGATCTCAGATAGAAGAAAAAAAAAGATAAGAGCTAGTGATGGTAAAAAGGGAATGGTTAAAGTATCAATGGTCATGCTCCCGTATATGCAAACAAACTTACCACAGAAACAAGTGTAGGTATTAGGAACATGTGCAGAAACATTCTGACAGGCAGGGCACCTCCAACCACTCTGTCCATCTGTCAAAAAAAATGAGAGTAAGCCAAATAAATTTTCTTTCAAAAGCACAAGTAACTCAGTGTCAGAGTATGTGCTTAGCATGCATGTAGCCCTGGGTTCAATCCCTAGGATTCCCCAAAAAGAAAACACAAGTAATCTTTGAAAATTTAGGGCTGAGGATGTAGCTAGGTGGCAGAGGCTTGCTTAGTGTGTGCAAAGCCCTGGGTTTAATCCCAAACACCACAAAAAAAGTTTTAAAATTAAAAAAAAAAGTTTTAAAATTAAATCAAAACTTACGTAAGGCATGGTAGCACATGACTGTAGTCCCAGCTACTTAGGAGGCTGAGAAAGGAGGATCAATCAAGCCTATAAGTTTTCAAAACCAGCTTGGGAATATGAAGGCAATCTGACTCCAACATGTTCCACTACTGACTATTAAGGTTGATTTGGCTGATATGGCTGGCTACATGGGTGTTCCCTTCCTCCCTTACTGATCCATATGTGTCCCCTGCCACAAAACTGTGTGCTTGGTTAAAGAAGACAACCCTCCCAAATAGAGGAGGACCATTTCTTCAGTCAAAGGTATATGAGTAGTTGTATTCCCCTGCTAGAACCTCCAAACAAGCTATCAGGAAAAGCTAGGGCAAAGGTGACATCCTGTCTCAAAAAATTTTGTTTTAAATCTATAGAAAACCACACTATAGAAGAAACTGTAGTAATTTTAATGTTAAGTATGTTAGACATTTAAGCAACAACTTCATAATAGCAAATGCTCTGCTTAAATACCACATTTGGGATTACATTTATAAGGACTTTCAGATATAATGAATCAAGTAGGTATGTGGTTTAATAGGATAAATTGAGTACATGCAAGAAAATTCAAATGTTTTGAATTAGAGAGCCACAGTTCAGAAAGCATATACTATATTTGGGAAAAGCCCATAATAACTATGCAGAAGATATGTGAAAGGCAAAACCAACTTTAATACTGAGGGTAAATAAACAGTTGCTTTGTATAATTTCTAAAGTAAACTATACAATAAATATATGTTGCCACTTGGATAAAAGCTATCATTTTCAATAATAATGACTAATTTTAAAATACCTTAAAAAATACCCTAAATATTTTATTATTGCAACGTTCAGCAGTTTTAAGACTGCCTATAATTCTGGTCACCTGAAACATGTGATCAAGGCAACATACTCTCCTTGCAGGTAAGATATTTAAGAAGAATTAGTATTTAAATATAACAAATAGGTGAGAATAACTACTTAGAAAAGAGAAATCACTGACCTGCATGAGATGCTGGAGACCTTGCCCATTTCTTGATACAGTTCAGATGAAACACATGATAACAACTCTGACAGCTCCACACTGGGGCTGTGACTCGAACCAACTCACAGCACACCATGCACTCATATTTTTCTGTAGTTAGCTGTTCAATTAGAGAACCTGTTCAAAAAAACAAAACAAAAAGATAAACACAAACACAGAAAACCACTCCTCATTTTAGTCAACCAAGGAGCAGCAAGTCATTTGGGAGAAAAATCTGGTGAGAGATTTTAAAGCATTATGAGTAAAGTTGCTATTCAAGTGGTGAGGCCAAGAAAGGGCAGAAATATGCTGAGGTAGAGGATTTAGGAAGGAGATATTTAGTTGGGGATTCTCATAATTCAAGAAACAACCACCCCCCCACAAAAAGAAACAATCCCAAGAATCTGCCCAGGAAGAGACCAGAATAGCCAAATGCCCCTTTAACACAGCTTGAGCACACCTGGGGCACTGTACTGTGGGTCTGAATGTACCAACTCCATGAATTTAGGTGAGGGTAAGGCTCATGGAACTGCAGTGATCAGCTGTAAGAAGCCTAACCACGGACTAGTTGCAACAGCCCATGGGTAGTGAAAGGTCTCTAGCAGTTGCCCTGAAAGGTGTCCCCCCCACTTTAAAGCTTTTGGGCATTCTCTAAATAAAGATATGACTGGGAGCCAGGTGTGGTGTCGCATGCCTGCAATCCCAGCACTCAGGAGGCTGAAGCAGGAGGATTGCTATGAGTTTGAGACCAGCCTGGGCTACAGAATGAGTTCCAGTTCAGTCTCAACTACATAGGAAGACTCTGTCGCAAAAAACAAACAAACAAACAAACAAAACAAACAAACAAACAAACAAAAATATATATATGAATGATTGGGACCTACCACAAATCCCATGGTAGGGTTAACCAGAATGAAGGGAACACAGTCCCTGGTTCCAGGAATTCCCCATGACTAACACAGAAAAGTGTACAACAAGCATCACAGGAATCCTCCCAGACTAAACCAGGTGTAGTAGCACATGCCTCTAGTCCCAACCCTGGGGAGACTCAGGTGGAAGGGTCACTTGAACTCAGGACTTTGAAACCAGCCTAGTCAACACTGTGAGACCCTGCCCAAACAAAACAAGACCCAAAAAACTCACCAGATTTATTCCTCAAGAAACAACTTCACTCATTTCTAGTTTTTTGTTTTTTTTTTTCCCCTCAAATACAAATGAAGCAGTCTTTCCAGATCTTAATATATAGCCAGGTACTCTCAAGTTGGGGTTTGGGGGAGAGGGCTTTTTTGAGTACATATTTTAGCATTTATTTTATAATACTACTATTTATTTTCAGGTCCAAATAAGTACAAGATTAAAATAAGTTTAAAGACAACATACCAAGCACTGTGCTAACGCACATTACATGAATTATTTAATCTTAACAAGGTCATAATATATTTACTATTTTATAGGTGAGGAAATTGAAGATCAAAGTGAACAGATCACTTACCCCAGCTCATATAACTAAAAAGGTGAAAGTCAAAATTAAACCTCACCACTATCTGACTCAAAAGCTCACTAATTACTCCACAATACTGGCTTTCCTAAGATTACTATCTGATCAATTTAGTATCAAAAGAAATATATAATACCCTAACATTGTAAATTCCATGAGCAGAGACAGGGCCATGTCTACCTTGCTGAATGTAGTATTTCCAATGTCTGGAATATAGTAGGTACTTAATAAATACCTGTGGAGCTAGATGTGGCACATGCTTGTATTCCCAGCCCCAGGAAGGCCGATGCAGGAGGACTGCTATACATTCGAGGCCAGCCTGGGCTATAGTGATTTCAAGCCTGAATTTCATAGTGAGACCCTGCCTCAAAATTTTTTTGTTGAATTAAGGGATAAAAGAATAAATCAGTGATATCTAGTCTGTTTTATAACTTCTTTTCTTTTCTTTTCTTTTTTTTTTTGTGGTACCAGGGATCGAACTTGGGCCCTTGTGCTTGCAAGGTAGGCAGCAGAAGCACAGAGCCAAATCCCCAGCCTTGTAACTTTTTTCCCTGAAAGTTGATGGTTTCACTGAAGTTTCTGGAATGCCTCCCTAACCCTAGGAGGAAAGCCTGAAATAAAGATACTTTATGTGGCTAATTAAAGGGAAACTTACCCACTTTGGTAACAAATGAACATACCATAAAACTGAATTCTATTATAAAAATGAAGAACAAGACCTAGATCCTTTCTTAAAAGCAGGGCTTCCCTTCCTTGCACAGATTAACATCTCTGAATAACAAAGTAAATTAAAATTAATTTTTGTTGCTAGAGATTGAACCCAGGGCATTGCACAGGCAAGTGCTCTATCACTGAGCTGTACCTACAGCCTAACTATATTTTCTACCTGTTAACATGTTACATGTGGAAGATTCTGGTGGGACAAGTTAAGTACAAAGCAACTCTTCATAGAGAAGTTTGAGGTGTCTAATCATAAGAGGCTGACTGGATGGAATTATAATTATGGTGAATTCTATAGAAATACGTATCGACCGTTGTAGAATAGAATTGTTAGAAGTGACATAGAAAAATAAGAAAAGAAGTCTAGAGATGTAGCTTAGTTGCAGAAAATTTGCCTTGCATATGCAAAGTCCTGGTTTTGACCCTCAGCACTGCCAAAAAAAAAAAAAGCCCAAAAGAAATATTGAACATATTTAACAATGCAATCCTCTGCTTTCTAAATTTCACTGCTTCTCAGCAAGGACCAGAATGGATGACAGATGTTGGGAAGGAGGAAGAAAGGGTTCAAACCGGAAAGAGAACTAGGGAGTGGAAAGAAGGAAGGAGGGAGTGGAAAAGGAAAAAGAGAGAATGGAATAAAAAATGGAAACAGGGCTGGGGATTTAGCTCAGTGGTGCAGCTGCCTGCCTCCCAAGTGCAAAGGTCCTGAGTCTGATCCCTGGTACCAAGAAAAAGGGTGAGAAGAAGAGAGTTGGGGGAGAGGGGAAGGAAGGGAAGAATCGGGATGTTATTTTGTACAGGTACAGATTTCCTGTGATGTATGTGATCATTACGTATGTTAAAGGTATATCAATAAAATTAATTAAAAAGATAAAAGTTTACTGTCTCTGTTGTTTATATTATGAACTTATTAAAATATTAATATTTATATAAACTTGTTAATAATGTTTTTTAAGTGTTGTTTTACAATCCAGTTGCAGTAAAATATGACCACTCAGATGCATATCCAGCAATGTGGTGATGGCTGCCAACTTCGAATAAACCACCAATTTTGCCAAGTCCTTTCTCTCTCACATCTCTCATTCAGTATGTCAGCAAATCCTGCTGGCTCTACCTTCAAAATATATCCAGAATCCAATCTCTGCAGCTCTCACTCTGGTCTAAACCACTTTTCAGATCACCTGATTATTAAAACTGCCTCACTAGTTTTTCTACTTTATTCTGGCCACAACAGCCAGAAAAAAGCCCGTTAAAATGCAAATTAGATGAGGCCACTCTTCTGTTCAGAATTTGCCAATGGCTCTTACCTCTGGAGGCCTGTAAAAGCCAAAGTCCTTTAGTGGTTCCCATCACCTCCCAGTCCTCATTGCTATTACTCTTTCCCTAGGTCACCTCTCTGAGATCAGACTGGACTTTTCCTTTCCTCAAAATGGCAATCAGATTCCTGCCTGAGAATCTTTACACTTGATATTCCCTCTATCAAGAAGGCTTTTTTCTGGGGCTGGGAATTTAGTTCAATGGCACAGCACCTGCCTGGCAAGTGTGAGGTCCCTGGTACTTCTTCTCCCCCCAAAAAGAAGGCTTTTCTCTAGACATCTGCACAGCTCTGTCCTTCACCCTCTTGAGGTGTTTACTCAAATAATGACTGATGTCCTGCCTGGCATGGCATGTGCACCTGTAATCCCAGCACTCTGGGATATGAGGCAGGAGACAAGTTCAAGCCCAGCTTGGGCAATTTAGCCACTTAGTGAGATCCTCCCTAAAATTAAAAAAAAAAAAAAAAAATTAGCTGGGGATGTTATGGCACAGCTACTTGGCAAGTACAAGGTCCTGATACTGAGAGAAATAAATAAATAAATAAATGGTTGGGGATGTAGCGCAGTGCAAAAGACTTGGTACAATTTCTAGTTACCCACTCTCCCCAGGTAACCATCTAATGAGGCAGTCCCGGGGTATACTTTTAAACTTGTAGCCCACCACCTCAGCATTCCCTACACTTCTTTCACATGGTGTTTCCTTAACACAAAATATAAGTGATATGCCACATATTTCATCTTGCTTATTGTTTAATTCTATACATAAAATGTACACTCCTTGAGGGCAGAGATTTTTACCGTCGTGGGCACCTAACACTATTTCTTGTTTAAAAGAATGACAATAAGCAAAAACATAAAAGGTTCCAGAAAGGTCCTAGAAAGAGAAACAGTGCAAGTTTTTCACAGACAGTATTTACCTGTCCATTCAGTTTTATCAAAACATGCCTAACATGCAGAATCTAGTAGTCTCCAGAACAGCTCTATGTTCATAAAGTGTTAAATTCAGTTCCAAGATTCTTGTTTGTGCTAGGTCACAGCCCTGTCCTGACCACAGGTTCTTTTTCAGCCCCCATAGGTGTTTCCTCAGCAGGGCTTCTCTATCATTTTTCAGTCATGATTGTGCCTACTCTATGCTTCTAGTTGGAGAGCAAAAAACATGAAAATTAGGCTGGGGATTTAGCTCAGTGGTACTGCTGCCTGCCTCACAAGTGCAAGGTCCCAAGTTCTATCCCTAGTACCAAAAAAACCCAAAAATGATGAAAATTATTTATATGATTTCAACTATGTAAAAATGAGCATTGAAAAATTTCTGTAAGAAAATAGAACAAGCTAGGCATGGTGGTGTGCACTTGTGATCCCGGTACATGGGAGGCTGAGGCAAGAGGATCACCATGAGTTTGAAGCTAGCCTGGATTACATAGTGAGACTCTGTCTCAAAAACAACAAAACAAAGTAGAACAAAAAGATAAAGCTGATTATATCTAGGTGCTGGGAGTACAAGCATGTTATCTACTCAAGCATTTCAGTAATTTATTAAAAAAAGCTAATCCAAGCCAAGTGTGGTGGTGCAGCCTCTGGGAAGCTGAAGCAGGAGGATGGTAAATTCAAACCCAGTTTGGGCAGCTTAGTAACTTGATGAAACGCTGTCTTAAAAATATAAAACAAGGGCTGGAGATTTAGCTCAGAGGTGCTGCTGCCTGCCTTGCAAGCACAAGGTCCCAAGTTTGATTTCCAGTATCAAAAAAAAAAAAAAAAGAAAGACAAACTACACAACTAAAAAGGAGCTAGGGATGTAGCTCAGTGTGAAGGCCCTAGGTTTATTCCCCAGTACTCCCCCACACAGCCACATACACACAAGCTAACCCAAGCCAGGCATGGAGGCGCATGTCTATAATTCCAGCATGGTGGGAAGATGAAGCAAAAAGAGGATAAAAAGTTCAAGCCGAACCCAGGCAACTTAGTGTCTCAAAATAAAAAATAAAAACAAGGCTGGGGATGCAACTCAGTGTTAAGACTCTGGGCTCAACCCCTAGTACTACAAAAAACAAAAAACAAATAAAGGGCTGGGGATTTATTAGCTCAGTGGCACTGCACCTGCCTCACAAGTGCAAGGTCCTGTCTTTGATGCTTGGTATTAAAAAAAAAAGAAAACCAAAAAACAACAAATTCAAGATAATGGTCAGTATGTTCAACTTAAGTCTTACTGATTATGAATTACATGTCATACCTGTGTATATCTAAATCTAAAGCTTGTAGCAGAACTTGTGGTTTGAAGGTAAGATGTGAGAAGTCAGCACAGCAAGAAAGCACGGAAAAATTTTTCAATAAAATTTAACAAGTGAAGCCAGGTGTGGTGGTGCATGCCTGTAATCCCAGCACTTAGTTGGCTGAGGCAGGAGGATCGCTGTGAGTTCGAGACCAGTCTAAGCTACACGGTGAGTTCCAAGTCAGTCTCAATTACATAGTGAGACCCTGTCTCAAAAAACAAAGAAACAAAAACCCAAAAAAACCCAAGGAAACACCAACAGCTAGGAAAAAGAATGAGGGACCAGGTGTGGTGGCGCACTCCTGCAATCCCAGCATTTGGGAGGCTGAGGCAGGAGGATCACTGTGAGTTTGAGACCAGCCTGGGCTACATAGTGAGTTCCAGGTTATTCTCAACTACATAGTGAGACCCTGTCTCAAAAAAACAAACAACAACAAAAAAAAAAACCAAAAAAATAAAAAAAATAAATAAATAAAAATAAGGAAGAGAAACTTAAGGATTCAAGTAGGAACAGGCAAGGAATATCAAATGAGTTAGAGAAGTCATAGTTCAAGAAAGACTCCTTTGTGTCAAACTTAAAGGGAGATCTGGTATTATAAGGACTGACATACATCTGTCCAATGCATGTGGTAAGAAGGAAGCCATTCATGACATTATCTATGATATCTATATCACTGAAGCAGACGACAGAAATGAATCAAAATGTAGAAGAAACAGAATAGATGACTGACTCTTTTTTTTCTTTTTGATTTTTTTGAGACAGGGTCTCACTGTGTAGTTAAGACTGCCCTGAAACTCACTATGCAGCCCAGGCTGTTCTCGAACTCACAGAGAACCCTGCTCGACAGAAATGAATCAAAATGTAGAAGAAACAGAATAGATGACTGACTCTTTTTTTTCTTTTTGATTTTTTTGAGACAGGGTCTCACTGTGTAGTTAAGACTGCCCTGAAACTCACTATGCAGCCCAGGCTGTTCTCGAACTCACAGCGATCCTCCTGCCTCAGCCTCCCAAGTGCTGGGATTACAGGCGTGCGCCACCACGCCCGGCAATGACTGACTCTTGATGAGACTGGAATGGAAGAAGAAAATACTTGGAAGCCATTTATCAGGGAAATTTTCCTTAGGAGGGTAGAGGCACCTTGGAAGAACTTCAGGCTGAGAAGTTGGAATAGTAGATGTGAAAATGTTAGTGAAAGGAAATCCCAAAGAAATTTAAGGAAGAGTAAGCACAGAAGTCTCTGAATTTGCACAGAAGGAACAAAATGTTAAGTATACCTGCCTAATGGTTTTCCTTTCTCAGTGAAGTAAGAAGCTAGAAAGTCCACTGAGACTTACAGAGACAAATGTTAGGAAGGTTTGAATAAAACTGGAGAATTCTTGGTATGGCTATAGATAAAAATGAGGGAAAAAAGCTGACCAATATCACCTAAGGGGAAATAAGCAGTGTTGAAAGCCAACAGAGGTTGGAGATCACTATGCAAACAAGTTTACTTAAACTGGTGATAATGGCACGTACCTATAATTCTAGCACTCTGAGAGGCTGAGGCAGGAGGACTGCAAGTTCAATGCCAGCCTGGAACATAAGGAGACCCTGTCTCAATTTTTTAAAAAAGTTACTAGCTGGGTGTGGTGGCACATGCCTGTAATTTCAGCACTTGGAAGGCTGAGGTAGGAGGATTGCCATGAATTTAAGGCCAGCATGGTCTACATAGTGAGTTCAAGGCCAGCCTGAGCTACAAAGTGAGACTTTGTCTCAAAAATAAATTAATTAATTGATAATAAAAATGTTAAAAGTTACTAGGCTGAGGGTATAGCTCAGGGGTAAAATATCTGCCTCATACTGTTCTCTGCTTTACACACAAGATGAAGTCCTAAGAACTATCTGGTTTAATAAGCAACTAGAAGAACTACAGACTAGTGTAAAAACAGGTCCTGGGCAGGAAGTGAAAGTGACAGATATTACACTATCTGTCACATTAAACTGAAAGGTAGGGGGTACACTGTAAAGGTACATAAGGAAAACTAATTCAACCTTGATGAAATGAAGGATATCTTTAAATACTGCAAAAGACTGACTTGAGCCAGGGGTGATGGTATGTACCTGCAACCCCAGCACTGAGGCTGAGGCAGGATTGTGGCAAGTTTGAGGCCAGCCTGAATTACGGAGCAAGACCCTGTTTCAAAAAAGAAAAGATGTGAAATGAGGGGAAAAAAACTGCGAGAAAACTGGCTGCTGCACTGTGCTATAGGATAAAATTTGAACCAAAGGGTGGGAAGTATTTAGAGGACAAAATTTTAGCCAGGCATGGTGGCATATGCTCATAATCTCAGCATTTGGAAAGGCTGGGACCGAAAGGACCTCAAGTTCATGCTCAGCCTGAACAACTTAGTGGGACCCTGTCTCAAGATGAATTTTAAACCTGAGTGGTGGTGAATGCCTGTAATTCTAGCATTCAAGAGTCTGAGGCAAGCAGATCACCATGAATTCGAGGCCTGCCTGGGCTATATAGTGAGTTCAAGGCCAACTTGAACTACACAGTGTGAGACCTTGTCTTAAAATATCAACAAAGAAAATAAACTGAAAAAGGATTGGGAATGTAACTCAGTTAGAGGAAGTCCTGGGTTCAATACCGAGCACTACAATAAAGAAATATTCAGTTCAATGTAAGTTCAATCTAACAGAACTGTGAAGCTATTTTGTTCTAGCAGCTGCGGTAGGCAGCAGAATTACAAAAAGAAATGAAAGATACAGTATCTGCTTTTAACTGGCTTACAGATTAGTGGAGGGCACTAACACATAAACTCTAGTTTCCAGCAGTCAGTTCTGAAACAGAAGCAGGAGACAGACATATATGTAAGTGATAGAAGAAATCAATGCTATCGATAATGGTGAGGAAAGGTTTCCAAATATGTCACTAAACCAGCTTTTGAACATGAAGAATTCACTAAATAACTGAGTGGTAGGGCTTCTACAGAGAAGGAGCAACATGGAAAAAGAACAACACAGAAGACAGGGAACAAAATGGTGGTGCCTGAGGCTGCAGAAGATGATTCTGTTGATTAAGGCAGAAGCTGCTGGTGGCGAAAACCAGTAAATGGAAGCAGGGAAATGACAGTTCAAAATATTTTAGAAAGACTGCTCTCTGCCAGTCATGGTAAAGTGTGCCTGTAATGCTGGTGCTGGAGAGGATGAGGCAGGAAGATTGAAAATTTAATCCCAGTCTGGGCAATTTGGTGACTTAGGGAGACCCTATTTCAAAAGAAAACACAAAACAGATTGGGAATATAGCTTAGTGTAAAGGCTCTGGGTCCCTACTACTGTTAAATAAAGAAATAAATAAATAAATATATGGGCTGGGGATGTAGCTCAGTACTAAGGCTCTGAGTTGAAATGACCAGTAGCAAAACAACAAAACAAAACAAGGGAAGAAAGGTTGCTATATGATGGTGGTGCAAAGAGATGAACTGAAATAAGAGAGATGAGATCATTAGGAACTGTTACAACTGAGCAATAAGATGAGGCAGATGAGATGACCCAAGCTAAAACCCCTCAGAGGCAGTGATGTTCCCATCCCCTACTTCTGCTTTCACAACTCAAAAAAATCTTGTAATCAGACCCACTATATCGATAATTCTAAAAGCTCTTACAGCATTCCTTATTTGGGGAAAAAAAATTATTTATATCTGCTCCTGATATATCTAAAGCAAAGTAAGTGTTTTTATCTAGTAGGAAGAAGAACAGACAGAGACAGAATCTAGGCAGATGGTAAGTAAAGAGAGGAAGAAATTTTCACTATATACCACTTCAAATTTCTGGTTTCTAAACTATGTAAATATATTACTTAAAATTAGTATTTACCTGTATGTGTTTCCATATTCTTTAGCACATGGTTCTGTTTGCCTCGGGGGAAAGGAGAAACCATTGGAGGATCCTGCCTCCTTACATTTTTCTCTTGGTTGACCCGTCTGGAAGACTTGTTGATGATTGCCAAATTCTCACTGTCACAGGCAGATTTTGTTGATCTTTCATTGATATCCTTTGGAATGGGAGCCATGTTGTTTCTGGGGCCTGCGTTTGCATGTCGTTGGCCCTCCTGTTTGGGTGGATTCCTGCCTGGTCGTGGCCTGGCCCCCTCCACTTCCCAAGGAGGCCTTTTCTGTGGGTATCTTCTCTGCTCATTTCGTCTGGCCCCATACCCATCCAGCCCTCCTTTTCTACAGGATGCATCTGAAGAGTCAGGGTGGGAAACTCCCACAGGTTTGATATTTTCAGGTCCCACATCCTCAGGTTTTGGAGTTATTTTGTTACCCCATTCACATTTGAGTTTCCCCTTAACTTTTGGTCCTCTACCATAGCTATATACAAACTGTGCTGCTTTTTTGGGTTTTGCTCCCCTGGGATCAGCACCAACAACCTCCTTCTCACTCTCAGAAGGGCTGTGCTCTCTGGGATTTGTCCCACTTTCTGATCTTGCCACATTTTCTAAGCTAGCTATATCTGCAGTGTGGTCAATGAGCCCTTGTGCTTTCTTGACTCTGATATGGTGCTTTTCATTCCTCAATTTTTGCCAAGGCTGACACTGAAGGCCATGGTTCTTGAGTGACTTGTTAGAAGCAGAAGATTGGAAAAATGTCTGTTGATTTTTAGGTTTGCTTCCAGAAGGATAACTGTACTGATGAACAGCAGAGATGTCATCATATGGGACCTGCCTGGAAAGGTGACAGGGAGGTGATGTACTGTAATTTCTTCTGCCAATTCTATTAGAGTCTAGTCTTCTTTGAGTCCCACAGTTTAGACCAGAATTTTTTCTGTCCTGAGGAATGAATTCAGCAGCATCCGTATTGAGTTTAAAAGTACCTAGGACATATGAAGTAGACATACCAGTAAGGTTAATATGTCACCTACGACGCTCGTAAGACTCTTAAGTCATACCTAAAAATTATTTTTTCTGGGCCAGGGATTTAGCTCAGTGGTTCCGCCACCTGCCTCGCAAGTGCAAGGTCCTGAGTTCAATCCCTGGCACCAAAAATAAGTAAATAAGTAAATAAACAAATAAATAAAAATTTTCTAAGCACATTGTGTAAAACAGGCTCTTGCTTGGCTTGGTGGCATACAACTGTAATTTTAGCTATTTGAGAAGCTGAGGCAGGAGGATCACAAGTTTGAGGCCAGCCTGGACAGCTTAGAGAAATAAATTACCAACCCAAATATAATACACACACACACACACACACACACACACACACACACACACACACACACAGGCTCTTAGTAAGACCTATGTTTCTTATGAAGGTGATACTTCTTTCAGGTACTTATAGAGGGCTGTCTATCTGTGTCCAGTAGTCACAGTGACAGTCAGTAGGAGTTGCTGAGTAAAAATGGTCATCTGGACCATCAGGGACTATGTACAAATGCATTTACTTTATTAAATAACTGTAATGCCAGCTAACATTGTTCAGAGATAGCAGTCATAATGTTCCACACAGTCTTCAAAACTCTTAAGTAGTACTGTATAATATCAGCTAAACAGGCTTTGAAGTTAGCTAAAATGGGTTTAAATTCTGGCCCTCAAACTTATAGTATAAGACTAGGAGTATAAGTGGACCATACCTACCCCTAGTTTCTATATCTGTAAATAAAGCATGATACTTATTTTAAAGGGTTATTGTGAAGTTTTAAGATCTTATGTGGTAGCTTAACATTATTAGCTTATTATTATTATTATTATTAGGGTAGCTTATTACATTAGTTTCCATCTCTTCCCCCTAAGAATATATTTTGGGCTTTCCATACATAATCTCTACAGCATGCTCTAGAATCTCAAAGTCTTAAAAGCTGATCATAGCTCCTGTCAACTCACTCATTTTTTCCCAAGATGATTTCACTGTAGTCAACTAAGTCCCTGAAGATCAAGGAAATGATTTGCCTAAAGACATAAAACTAGTAATGAGATAGAAAACAGCGAGCTAGGACACAAACCTAGGTCTGACTGACTCCAGTGCCTACACTGACACCTATAATTGCTAAGTTTATCACACTTTTCAGATTCTGGTTTAAAATTCCAATTTTTGGGCTAGGTGTGGTGGAATGCAGTTATAATCCCAACACTTGGGAGACTGAGGCAGGAGGATTCCCATGAGTCTGAGGACAGTCTGGGCTCCACAGTGAGTTCAAGGCCAGCCCTGAACAAAACCTTGTCTAAAAAAAACAACAACAACAAAAAAACACAAAACAAACTAGTAATAAAGTCAGAACAATGGGTAGCATATAGAATGTACTATGAATCAATATGTAAATTTCAATGTATCCAATGTTATCAGTACATGGAAACATGAGTTTAAATCCTTATCCATCACTTATTGTACCTTTATTCAAGTTACTTAGCCCTACTCCCTTGGTTCCTTTCTTTCTTCTTCCTTCCTTCCTACCTTCTTCTTTACTCTCTTTTTACCTCCCTCCCTCCCTCCGTTCCTTTCTTCATTATTGGGGATTAAACCCAGGATCTACACACTGAGCTGTATCTCCAGCCTTTTTTATTTTATTTATTTTTTGGTACTGGGGATCAAACTTGGGTCCTTGTGCTTGCGAGGCAGGCAGCAGAACCACTGAGCTAAATCCCCAGCCCTTAATTTTTTTTTTTTTTTTTTTTGTTTTCAGAC